GTCCTGTAGTTGGCTCGGATTGCTGTGTATCCTCCTCAGTACTTACAGTAGGTGCAGATCCTGATGCTTCTTCAGCTCTTAAAGGCACTGAATCCCCCCCTCTTAGGCTGTCAGGAGCTGGATCTGGGGCTGAGTCAAGGGCAGCCATGACAACAGGGCACCTGGGCAAGCCAAGGGAAGGCATGGGGTGTGGCCTAATATGCTAACGAGTTGCCCTGTCAGGGGTGTGGCCTAATATGCTAATGAGTTTCTACTGTTGGGTATGGCCTATTATGCTAATTATTTCCTACTGGCCTTTTACTAACATTGTCCTCCCTTATTTCAGAGAGGCTGGTAGCTTACCTGGATACATATAGCGCTGTATAAATAAAAATAACAATGGCAACAGCCAAAGACGAGCATCGGAGAGAACTGGACCCCTAACATCTTTTGTCTCTGTTTGCCTACCCAGGGCCGCTGCATGAATTTCACTCGGGTGAAATCAGACGGGACCGCTGTTTCATACCGTCCTCCCCAGAAGCCGCCAGAGCCCCGCCCCATCTACAGAGCAGCCCCAAACTGCTCTCCAGGACCAGTGCAGCCTCCTCCCTGCAGGGAGCTCCCCCCAGGGCCTCCCCCTTCAAGACAGCCCCCTGGGCCTCCTCCATCCCGCCCTCCGCCCCAGCTTCAGGCCCCGAGCATGTGAAGCCCAGGGCTTTGCAGATGGGAGCCTATTTATTTCCGCCTTGATGTACCGTCAGGATTTGTTGCTGGTCAGCAAAACGAAAACACACAACGGATTGCTGGGTGTCAATTTGTACGACTATATATATTTATGCGGCTGAAAAACTGCCCGGATGATTTTGGAACCGCTGGCTCCAACCGAAGAAGAGGGATGCGTGGACAGTAGCGACAGTCTTCACAGTTGCAATGTGCACGATGTGACTCGCGCACGTGACCTGGCAGCGTTTTGCCTGTCAACTGGAAACAGTTCTCTGCAAATGAGCTGAGGGGTTGGGGGCAGGGATTTCCTGAAGCATCCCTAATAGCAATGTTGGCTTTGGCTCATCCGAAGAGGAGGCCGCACTGGGTGGGTTCTCTGCCTCAGGAGGTCAGGAGATGGAAGCGACGAAGGCGGGTGGAGACGCTGGGCGGCCACAGGATTCAAAAAACAAGAAGAAACCCAATTTTGCGCCAACTGTGACCTTAAAAACCCCGGGAGATCCGTGGCCCATTGAAGAGGAAGGCTGAGAAATCAGATGCCGTCCTTAATTTGGAGGAATGACACGCTTCAGCCCCTGCATCTTTGCACAAGGAACTGGCTCATGGCACATGCACCCAACCAATGGCTCCCTTTCCTCAGGGGACTTTTGTTCTCATCCTCTCTCTTTTTCCTTTCTGCCATCAGGTTGCAGCTGACGTACGGCTATCCCACAGGGTTTTCAAAGCAAGGGATGCTCAGAGGCGGTTTGCCACTGCGTACTTCTGCATAGCAACCCTGGTCTGGCCCGTAGCCAGGATTTTGTGGCTTGTGGAGCAAATTATTTCCTGGTGGGGCTGATGTTCTCAGTGCAGAAAGAAAAGCCGTTTAGCCAATAGACAGCTGTTACCCGGATAGATCTCTAAATTGCAAGCTGTCAACTACTTTAGGTGACAGTTCTCAGCTGCTGCAAGTTAATCACTTCTGCCAGCCTAAGCAGCAATTCTGATAACAAGCCAGCAGGTGGCGATGATGACTTCTGTAGTTGAGAAAGCGAACACTTAGGCAGAAAAGCTCTCTTAAAGGAGACCAGTTTCTTGAGACAGAGTTAGAAGGGATCCTAGAGGTCACCTACTCCAACCCCCTTGCTCAAGTGCGGGAATTAGTCAACGACAGCACCCCACTCTGCTTAAAGGAGCACACGCCTTTAAAAATGTTTTAAAATGATTGAAAAAAGCATTTACAGGAGAAATCCTTGAGATGTGTGCCTTTAAGAAAGGGGGCGGGCCCCCCAAAGCCCAACCTGACCGTGGACTTCCTTGGTGGTCTCCCATCCAAATACTAACCAGAGCTAACCCTGCTTAGCTTCCAAGATCTGACGGGATCAGGCTAGCCTGAGCCATCCAGCTCAGGGCAGCCCAGTCTTGCCCCCCTCCAATTTTACTAATAAAAGAAATGGGGAGGAGGCCAGTGGGGCAGATATCCCCCCCAAAAGGTGTTCCACGCATCACGACCTGTGCTACAGATCTCACTGTGCACACTTGGTATGCCTAGCGAACAAGGGCAAGCACGTACATCAAGATCCCCCCCCCCATTTTACTAGGCTATGCCACACCCCCCCAGGGTCTGTGTTATGTGGTGTGACCATGAGGATGGATTTCCCTTCACTATCGTTGACTTGTATGAGGCTCCAGAAGTCTCTGTGTACGGGCCGTGCTTCCTGGGGATTCTGCAGAACCCAAAGGAACCTTGTCGCCCCCAAGAGGGGGATATCGGCAGTGCAGCAAGTACAAAATGCTTTTGCTTCTTCATCTTCTTGACCTGCCGTGATGTTAACTGGGGGGGCGGGGCGGGCCAGAGACCAGAACTGCATCGCCATAGGCGGGTTGCTTTCAGAATACTCGGGTGAAAAGTGCTGCCCAGTCGCAGCCGACTTACGATGACCCTGTAGGGTTTTTCAAGGCGAGAGGCTAACAGAGGTGGTTTGCCATTTGCCTGCCTCTGCGTGGCAACCCTGGATTTCCTTGGCAGCCTCCCATCTAAGCACTAACCCGGCCGACCCTGCTTAGCCCTCGCCTGGGTAGCCTAGGCCAGCCCAGCCTCATCAGAGCTCAGAAGCGAAGCAGGGTTAGTATTTGGATGGGAGACCACCAAGTTAGTCCAGGGTTGCTACAAGGAGGTGGACGATGGCAAACCAGTTTGGTGTGGTGGTTAAATGCGCAGACTCTAATCTGGGAGGACCGGGTTTGATTCCCCGCTCCTCCACTCGCACCTGCTGGGTGACCTTGGGTCAGTCACAAGCTCTGGCACAGCTGTCCTTGAAAAAGAGCAGTTTGTGTCAGAGTTCTCTCAGGCCCACCCACCTCACAGGGTGTCTGTTGTGGGGAGGGGAAGGGGAAGGGATTGTAGGCCACTCTGAGACTCCAAGTGAAGGGTGGGGTATAAATCCAATCTCTTCTTCTTCTTCTTCTACCTCACAGTGTATCTGTTGTGGGGAGGGGAAGGGAAAGGAGTTTGTAAGCCGCTCTGAGACACCTTTGGGTAGTGAAGGGCCGGGGATAAATCCAATCTCTTCTTCTTCTTCTCTGAATATCTCTTGCCTTGGAAAACCCTACCGGGTCACCATGAGCCGGCTGCAGCTCGACCCCAAAAAGAAAAAGTTTTGACAAAGACAAACTAGAGAAGGCAGGTCAAGGGGCTGTGTTTAGTGCAGCATAAGTTCCAGCTCCTTTCTCGGATTTATTGTCCAGAAAGGTTTGCTCCAAAGCGGTCTCCTCAGACAAATGCTATAGAAACTAACCCCTCAAGATTTTCATTGGCAGCGGGAAGAGGATCATAAGCAGACTCCCCCCTCCCGCCCCGGCAGCAAAGCAGAAATTCACACGCAAATTCTAGAAGCGTTCCAGTGCCGCTTTCCAGATTGAGGCTAGCAATTCATCGGCCATTTTAGGAGTCCGGTTAGCACGCCGAGAGGGAGGCAGGTGCAAATCAGCAAGCCTCCTAGAAGCTCTTTCTTGAGAGTGTTCCTCTGACATCCGCCTAGTGAAGTCGACTGGCTTGCAAAACGATAAGGGGAACTGTCACATGAAGCTGTGTTTCCAGCGCCCCATGCGCAGCAAAGAGACAGCTGTGCACGCACGGGCAGCATAAAGCACAGTCCGGACTCTCGGAGCCTTGTCAGCATTTCAGAGCCCATCAGCGCTACGATTCCTCCTCTGACTGAACCTTCAAGTGACAGCCGGGCAAGGGACGGTACTGTGACGGCTTTGTTCGACCGGCTCATTCGGATCTCGCTTGCCAGCCTCCCCGTTGCGGCGAGCTTCTTCTTTTTTTTTATCAGTCTTGGACCGAAGACGAAGGAAGCGACCTAGCAAACCAGGTCGGCTGCTTAAGACAAAGGGACACCGGCGGCTGGACTGTCGGCAGAAGTGGAACTCAAACCAGGGCCTCTTTGTGGCACGTCACCACCCGGGTAGGGGAGACGGGCCCCATCTTGCAGTCCCATGACGTGACCCAAACCATTGTAATGTTTTCTACCCTGTTCCTGCCCCGCCCACTGTATGGAAATACGGCGGGGCTGAATGTCCCCTTGGCCCACTGTTTGGATCAAAGAACAGTTAGATTCTAGTCCAGAAGCACCTTCGAGGCCAACCAGAGTTCCAGGGGATGTGCTTTCGCTCCCTTCGTCAGACACGAGGAGAAAAGGAGATCTCCAAATCTTTATATCCCAGTCAGAAGGTGGGAGGGGTGTTGTAAGGAATACTTGTAATCAGTGTTCCCTCTAAGCTGAGTTAGTGTGAGCTAGCTCACAGTTTTTTAGCCTCCAGCTCACAGATGTCTGTCCTCGCTCAGGAAGGAGGGCTCCAGAGCAAACTAATTTATGCAGCAGCCAAATGGCTCGCTCACAACTTGAATGCCAGGAGCTCACAAAGCAGAATTTTTGCTCGCAAGACTCCACAGCTTAGAGGGAACATTGCTTGTAATAGATGCAAAGGTACCATGTATATAGTAATCAGCTGGACCCAAGCAGAGGGGAAATGCTTGGGGGCAAAAAATTAGCGTCTGTGTTGAGATAAGAAGGTGGACATGCACAGAGATAAGAATGCCATGTCCCAACCACGAGGGGTCCATGTTTCTTAACTTGTGAATGAACTCAAGCCCAGCAGTCTCCTGTTGTAATTTCCCCTTGAAATGCGTTTGTCTTAGAACTTTGGTTCAAAGGCAGTGATGTATGAGGGGCAAAACAACCTCCGGAAAAAATATGAATCTGGCCTAGGTTTTTGCCTTTTTTTACTGTTTACAGCCTTGGTTATTGCTTTAAGGGCTATCTATCCCCCTTCATCCTCAAGTAATTACCATCAATCAGGTAAACTTGATCTTACGGTACTGAGGTAGTACTTAAAAGGTAAAGGTTCCCTTGCTCGAAAGCCAGTCGAGTCCGACTCTAGGGTTGCGGTGCTCATCTCCATTTCAAAGCCAAAGAGCCAGCGCTGTCCGAAGACGTTTCCGTGGTCATAGGGCTGGCATGACTAAACACCAAGGCGCACGGAACGCTGTTACCCATCAGAATTGACCGTATTCTGATGCTACTAAGGGGAGACAATCATTTAGAATGAGGGCAGTGCAATCTATACAGGTAACATCGGCAGTCTCAGCTAATCAGCAATCACAGATTACAGATTACAGATACTTCATAACACGCACAGATTACAGATACTTCATAACACGCACACCCTTTAGGCGAAAAAAAAAACAGGCCCTGTTTGCTCCCGACAGATTTTAGCCAACGAGTCTTCCCCTTTTGGTGCCCTCCTAACGACAAATATGGGCGACTGGCTTTGTCTGTGTCGTTTTGATATTTAAACCTGTTCTCGCAAGCGTTGCGACTGCATCATGGGGTACCGGGGTACCAGCTCCTGTGTAGCTGTGCGTGGATGTAACACAAGCCTAGTTTGGGCTATGATTCCATTAGGGTCCTTATACACCACTGACTCCCGGTGGACTTACTGTGTGCAGGATCACAACCTTAGCGGCTGGGTTATGGGTGTGAAGGGGAGCCCAGTCTTTTAACAAACATTTACTGACAACATGATTATGGAGATGCAGGGCTTTTTTTGTAGAAAAAGCCCAGCAGGAACTCATTAGCATA